ATATATATATATATATATATATATATATATATATATATATGCACACACATCCCAAAGGACACATCACATAACTAGAGAAATACCTGAAATAACTTTAGAGTCAGTGACTCAAAAGAGGTTTCAGACCTAGGCAGGAGCTGGATGACCAGCTAAAGATAGGGTTCCCAATAGGGAGACACCCAAACATCAATGTCAATGACTGAAACAGGGCACAAGAAGAACACCCCTGGGGCAGGAGTGTTTCCAGAGATGTTTGGTTTAAAGTTCCATTGGATTGTCTTATTGGAAATGCCTGGTAGGCACTTGGAAATGCAAATACAAGCAGGTACTCAAGGCCAATGACTAGCTCATTACTAGCCATATTATAAGTGAATCATACTCATTATATATTGAACACTTTAGATACACACACACACACACACACACAGAGAGAGAGAGAGAGAGAGAGAGAGAGAGAGAGAGAGAGAGAGAGAGAGAGAGAGAGAGAGCAGGTCTCGGGCTGAGCCTATGGTCTAGCTCAGTGTGGTTTTATTCCCTGGTGGTTTTAGATTCTCTATGTAATCGGCATTCTTTGATACTTATGTATATGTGGCCTTTATTATTTAGTTGAGTGTTGAGGGTTCCTGGCTACCAGGTGTATTATGACTCTTCATCCAAAAATAATACCTTTGGTTACCTTGTCAATATGTGCAGAGCCACAACACTAGAAACCAGCTTTAGAATGAAGACTGATGATTGTTACTGTATAGGATCTAAAGTAATTGGTTTTGTTCATATAAAGTTACTCATGCGGGAAGTAGGAAGGCAGGGAAGGAGGAGAAGGACGTCATTGCATAAAACACCTCTATAAATATTTAAGAGTTAAAGACTAGGAAAATGGCTCAGCCAGTAGAGGCTCTTGCTAACAGACAGCCTAAGTTCAGTCCCCAGAAGCCACAAGGTAGGAGGAGAGGACTGTGCTTGTTTGAATGAGAATGGCCTCCAGAGGCTCATATGTTTGAATGCTTGGTTTTCAGCTGGTGGGAACTGTTTGGGAAGGATTAGGAGGTGTGGCCTCTGTTGGAGGAGGTGTGTCACTGGATGGTTTTTGAGTTTTCAAAAGCTTATGCTAGTCCCAGTGCTTTCTCTCTCTCTCTCTCTCTCTCTCTCTCTCTCTCTCTCTCTCTCTCTCTCTCTCTGTGTGTGTGTGTGTGTGTATACTTGTGTATCCAATGTAAGCTCTCAGCTACTGTTCCAGGAACATGCCTGCCTGCTGACATGCTCCCCACCACAACGGTCATGGACTCACCCTCTGAAACTGTAAGCAAGCCCCCAATAAATTCTTTCTTCTATAAGTTGTCTTGGTGTTTCTTCACGGCAATAGAACAGTGACTAAGGTAAGAACCAACCCTGTAAATTGTCCTCTGACCTCTACATGTTTGCTAGGGGTATGAGTCCCTCCTCGCTGGAAAAAAAAAATGTAAAAATGATGGAAAGTTAAGGCATCAAGAGGGCAAGAAACTCTGAAGAGATCTGAAAAGACATGACTGCGTGCATGATTGTAGCAGGAATCTTAAAAGTTCTTATTAATAAAATCAAACCTGAGGCAGGTTTTGGGGTGAACTGGAAGATCAGAGAACCAGAATAAGCCACAGCTACCTCACCTCGCCAGATCCTCAGCTGGTCTTGTTTCCTCAGACTGGAAGCCTCTGAGTCCTCATCTAGAATGGGTCTCAGTTGAACTGCTGCTCAAAAGCCTGAATGCTTAACCAGGCCAAATGCTTAACCAGGCCAAATGCTTCTAGTTCCTGGTCCTCATGCCTTATGTATCTTTTTGCCTCTACCATCACTCCCTGGGATTAAAGGCTCGCTTTCTGGAATTAAAGGCATGAGTCACCATGCTTGGCTGTATCCTTGAACACATGGATTTCTGCCTAGCTCTGCCTCCCAAGTGCTGGGATTAAAGGCGTGTGCTACCACTGCCTATCCTCTATGTTTAATATTGTAGCTGTTCTATCTCTGACCCCAGATAAGTTTATTAGGGTGTACAATATTTAGGGGAACGCAATACCACCACACATGATGAAATATGAAGGGAAAATGAGGAAATAAAATGAAGTTTACACCACAAAATGAGGCAAAGAGTGAGGCTAGTCTGAAGGTAGGCATGAGCCCTTGCCTCTAAGCTGTTCCATCCACCTCCGAGAGAAAACCACAGCTGACTAGGCTGGAAGCCCCAATGAGCACAAACACAAGGTAGAGTCATTGCTCAGACGGTAAACCACAGAAAGCATTTCCACAAAGGAAAGAGAGATTAAGGGATGCAGGTCTGGGGCTGGAGAGATGGCCCCGTGTTTAGAGCACTTGCTGCTCTTGCAGACAAGGACCAGAGTTCAGTTGCCAGCAACCACGTCAGGCACCTCACAACCACTTGTAACTCCAGATCTCGGGGACCTAGTGCCCTCTCCTGGCCTCCGAGGGCACCAGGTATGCATATGATACACATACATACATACATACAGACAGACAGACAGACAGACAGACAGATATACAGACAGACAGACAGACATGCAGGCAGACAGACACACCCATACACCCGAAACAAAAGTAAATATTTTTAAATGAGAGAGGAAAAGGGAGAGGGACCGTGCGTGTTGTGGCAAAGCTGCCTCTTGCTACCCTTTGAAGGAAACACGTCCTCCTCCACGTTCACTTCCAGAGGAACTGTATGAAGAAGAGGTGAGAAAGAAGGTTTCCTTCAGGGTTCTGCTTCCCAGTCATTATCCCAAGACTATTTCTACCACAGTCTCCAGTAAAGTCCAGCCAACTACCTCAAGGAGAATTTACTAAGTGTTTTGGTTTTGAACACATTCCTTAATTCTTAGTACCATCACCACCACCACCACCACCACCACCACCACCACCACCACC